CTCAAACTTCCTCTAATATACTCATTAAGATACGATAAGTTATAAAAATTGTTATGAAGAAATTTGAATACAAAAATTATTGGTAACGTTTTTCATTTCATATGGTAAATGAAGATAACTGATCTTCAATTTTTTTATATTGCAATATCAAAACTTAGTATGGTATTGGTATGTGTTGTTACCTTGTAGCTCTCCTCTGTGGCGAGCTGCAGCTTCTCTGCGATCCAGTTCTCCATCTCGTCGGCGTCGCGCGAGAACTGCTGTAATGTCTGCTCGTCGCCCAGTCTAATAAATTAACGACCAAATTACATCAATATCGATAACGACAATAATAAATTTTCAAGCTAAACGGATAACAATGGAAGTCCTTGTAATGGAGTATATTATCAATAAAGTCACGGACTTTCTTTTTAACTCTGAATGTCGCAGTAAATCCCATTTCTAGATGTTTATGGGCAGCGGTCGCTTTTCATTTCGGTGGATTCAGGTGACCGGTTGCTCGTTTGCCACTTTATATTATAAAAAAAAAAGATAACACAAAGCCAAACATTTTATAGAATAAATACCCTGTTAACGTATGTTTGTTATGATTTATTAGTATTGTAATGTATCAGAGCTAACCTGGATCGTTTCTCGATGAGTGCCTCCTTGAGATGCCTCCAGCGGTCGAGCACCTGCTTGCGCTTCTTGTCGATGGGATCCGCCGCGTAGTGGTCTGATGCGATCAGTTGGTCCGCCAACGTCTGCAGCTGTGCTATCTTCTCCTCCTGATATAACCAAAACACAAATAAGATGGATAAAAAAATAATTTCCTTTATTTAGTACAAATAGTGTTAACATTAGTGCCCGGCGTATGAGTTGGCACCCCAGATATTTGAGTACTCTTCTTGCCGACGTGCCAAATTAAACCATAGTTTAGACACAACTTTTAACCCTTTCTACGATTCAACTAGATAGTGACGTCATCACTTACATGAGCATTGATAGCCTTATCGAAGTCTTCGTGCTTCTTGATGAGCTGCTCCACGTTGTCGGCGGTGGCGGAGTCTGCCTGGTCCTCGGCCTGGTCTGCGGGGGCGAGGAATGCCTCGCGCGCCCCCATCCACCCCTCCGCCTGCTCGCAGTCGCGGTAGAACAGCTGCAGCTCCAGGTTCTGGTCCAACTTCATACGCCGCGCTACCCACGCCCTATAGCAATTTATGACGCATTATATACAATACACAAAATTTAAGCTTTTTAAACGAATGTTTTAATATGGAGAATGTCTTTACTGATCGTTTTAATAACATAATAAAAGTATCAAAGGTTTAGTACTAACATTCGTTCAAGTTTATGGTATTCAAAAGAATAAATAACAATTCTGTTACAACACAAATATAATTACAGTATTCTTATTTAAATGTTATGTCGTAGTAGATATCATTTTTAAATGCTTTAGTGAGCAATAAAATGTTCGATTTAACTAGACATGACGTCTTCACGTCACAAGCAGCGAGGGATAATTTTGCAATGATGTTATACTGAGACGCACTTTTCGAGCTCCTGTCTGGCGTCGCCCATGGCGTTGAGCTTCTCCTGTATGTCGACGCTGGCGTAGTGGCCGCCCTGCAGCAGCTGCTGCCCGAACAGCTCCAGCGCCTGGAAGGTGCCCGCGCGCGCGTCCATCTCCGTACGGTGTTCCTACAATACAAATTATGTTGTAGAAATATAGTGTTCACGGTGAGAGCGAATGTTTAGTTATAATATTAACTATAGCACATCTGGTTAAAAAAGCCGTTATAAAAACAATATTCTACATCTCGCTCTGAGGTAGATAATACATGTTAAGACTTTAAAAAATTCAGACTTGATAGGAAACAATAAGCCGACATTTTTAAATAAAACCACAATCAACACCTAGAAAGTAGAGAAATTATTTGAAGGCGATTTGATAAAGATTTTTGCACAACACTCGTAAACCGTTAATGAAGTATAACATCGAAAAAACACTAAAATCCGTCGACAAGAGCGTAATGGAGGAATTAATTTGTTACAATCGATACTACTTAGGCCTTTAGATCCTTACAACATCGATAGAAAAATTAAAAAGCTAACTGTTGTTAATTTAATTCTGTTAGTTGATTTGTTTACTTATAGTATTCAGTTGTAATTTTTTCTTAATTAGGTTTTCTTGGTTATCCAAACTAAATCGAGAATGTTCTAGAAGAGTGTATCGAATGATAAACATAGAGAATATTCTGTGTCGTGAAGTATCGTATTATTAGCGGCGAGTGTAGTTATCTGCGGCACACGCGTGCATCTGACCTGCGGCACGACGCCGTACCGCGCGTCTATCTCCAGCCGCTGGCTCTAGAACACACGCTCCCTGTTACTTACTGACACACACTTATCGATTTATTGCTTTTAATACCAAATAGGATAACATGTTATAGCTATTAATTTCTTCTGTCTCAAATCCTGCTAAAACTGTATATTATAACATAAGAATATTACATTTTTAATACATAAAACCTTATCATAGCTCGTCATGGTAATACTGAGCCAGTACTGACCTGGTGTCTCTCCAGCAGCGCCTCGGCGCCAGTCACATCATTGGCCAGTTCCTCCGAGCTCACCAGCGCCATCATGGAGTTGATCCAGGCCATCAGATCACGGTAGTCCGACAGGAATCTATTTGTTATTCATACATTTAACAAGTAATCTAATTTTACAAACAGAGAATTTGTATAAAAAATAGTCTTAACTATTTATTCAGCATAAGCATTATTTGGCGAGAATTTGGCATAGAATTGAATAAAGGCATTTTAAAATCTTTTTCATTCTAGGTCTAGTATACTTCACAGTCAAATCGTGTGTTATCTGACCTCTGCAGGTCGTAGGAGTCCAGCAGCTTCTCCTTGCGTGCGTTGGCGCGCGCCTGCAGCTGCTGCCAGGCGTCGTTGATCTCGCGCTGCTTGCTGTAGGTGGCGTCTGCGCAGTCGCCGTGCGTCGCCATC